GGTGATACTGGTGGTACAAGACTTTTCATTGATGTGTCAAAGGCTTTTCAAAAAGTTTATCCTGCAAATGCTGCTCTGAGAGAATGTTCTCCAGATGAGAGTGGCTTTACAGAGTGGCATTACCATTAAACCTCTGAAGGGTTTAGCAACTGAAAATGCTTCAAAACTCTAAGCTATTATTCAGTACAGTTTTATTTATTTAAAATCTGCATCTCAGTGAACTGATTTTGAAAATTTTGCCTACTTTCTAATAGAAGTGTACAGTTTAGAGTTACAAATGCGTAGTGTTGATCTATCAGTTTGTGTCTGACAGTCTGGCCTCAGTATTGTGTGTTAATTATCTTGAGAAATAACCTTTGGGTCTCACCATGATTTGACAATTAATTTTCACTTAAATTTTGTTTACTATTGTCTGGCTTTAAAATGTGAAAAATACCCGTATAAAGGAAACCCTGGGCATTAAGAGTTAAGTCTACACAGCCTCACACTAAGCTGTCTGAAGATGGCCCCTGTGACCTCAGCAGTGTTTATTTGCCCAAGGTGCAAAACTCCTTGTATGTGACCCCAAAGTGCATTTCTGCATCTCTGTGCATGTTTAAATGTTGCAGCAAACAGTTAAACTCCTGAGAATAAGCAGGGAATGGATTCTATTACTTCAGCAGACACTCATTCTAAACCATATTTGCTTATAACCTTATCTGAATAAAGGCTGCCCTGGTTCTGAAATCTATAATGTTATTTCATTACCCTCACATTCAAACACGCATACAAATCTGACAAGCAGGAAATTCATTGGCTGAAAGCAACTTCCACTTCAGCAGCTGTATCTATTTTGGTTTATTGTCTTGGAGGCTGTGTCAACGAGCATCCCTATTCAAGTGTTCAGCATTCAAGTGCTGAAGTTTTTGATTGGAAGCAGACTAATATTAATCTTCAGTTATCAAAAAGTCTAATTCATCATCTATTTCCCTAAGTCCCCTGTAAAAAAAGCTGGTTTTTTTTTCCTTTTGTAAGTCTGACAAAAAATCATTTTTATTTGCTGAAGTAAGATTTTATTTAAACAAAATCACCACCCCCAGAACAGGATATGAAACTAAAGAACTTAAGTGTCTGATGTTATGGCATGTGAAATCAAAAGCATTCTCTGTACCTTGGAGACCAGACCTACCAGACCAAAAGTCAGGTAAACTAATTAGTGTTGAGCAAAGAACATTTTATATATCATGGCTCTCTGGATTAATTTCACCCCTTCTGAGCTACTCATTACATAGAACTCCTTAAATCAGTAGGACACAAGACACTGTACTGAGAGCAAGGTCAGTGAAACCAGACTCTTTTGGGATATAATGAATAGAGACAGAATTCTCCAAGGGATCTTCCTAATGTATGTCAGGAGCACAACAGATCACTGAATAGTGATTATGTATCCGGTCTATTTATTTTTTTTTTTTTCCCAACTGCTGTTTCCATATTTTCTTCTTGAACATATCTAAACTGAATTTGAGGGTTTAACAGGAAAATCTCATTATCAAGCTCTCTCTTCAAGGGAAAAAGATAAAGGTGCACACGTAGAAAAAAATCAGGAGTATGTTCCTGTTGGGTTAAAAATTGAAGCTGATGAGCAGCCATCTAATATGGCATGCATTCCTTATTTTATGGAGGTATGTTTTTTATGGATATCTTTAATTGCAGAATTCCTTCATGTGGGCTGTCTGAACATGCAGGAAGAGTCCAATAAACTCCAGTAAACTCTTCACAGGCAGTAGAGCTGAGTTGCTGACTCATCCTAATCTATATTTTATCTTTCTTTATCTCTAGTAAAGTCTGTGCCAATGTGGAGTGAGAAAAAACATCCAAATCATCTCAGGTGCATAAGCAGAGAGATTATTAATTCTTTCAGGAAATAATAGGCAGAACTTTTTTTGAATAAAAGAATTGATTGTTTTCACCAAATAATGGAAAAAGCCAAAGTAGATTTGAATAATTTATAAGTAAATACTAGATCCAGGGCTAACCACCAGATAGTTAATCTCTATAGTTACAAGTGTTTTTCTTTTGGGTTTAAGTGGTATTTGTCAAAAATATTTCAGTTAAGAAAATGGGAAAAAAGGAAAAAAAACCAAAATCAACTAACCAAAGAAAAGTATAAGTAGCTTAAAAGAGAAATCTAACAATTAAGAAATACTACGTATTTTTCTTGGAAATCATATAAAAATTCTCACTGACTGTGTGTTTTCATGCACAGATATTTGTTGAGTCTTGAAGGTAACATCATGTAAAACTAGGCAAGAAAACAAAGATGAATAGTGTGTCTTAATAAAAATTAACCATTAGATTTAAGAGATGTGCTTGACTCATCAATGTCTACTAACTCTGTAGAATCATTTTCGTTCCTTTGTAGAATCTTTGTTCCTTCAGATTTATTTCCTATATGAGAAGCATGACTTGTCCATACTGAGCATGAGAAACAAATCTTTTTTGTTATACAAAGCACAAATTGGTAATCTGGAAGAAGCAAATATCTATATACATTTCTGATTTACGTCTGAAGACAAATATGAAGAGAATATTTCATTGAGCATAACCTTGTCAGTGTTTTCCAGGCTGCCCTCAGTCACAGAGGCATGTGCACCAGTATGGTCTAGTCTGCCTCTAATGATTTTTGATGTGGTTATCCTTAAGAAGCTATTTTTCTATGAACTGCTAAAAGATTTTATACCCTGAAGTACCTCTACTTTCACCATTCATAACTAAATTGGAACACTCAATTTTGAAGTAATAGTTAGTGTGATTTATTATTTACCAAGGCAGCAATGAAGAAATGTATTTGAAAAGAAGCCACTAGCAAATTACAATCGATTTGCACAATATAACAAATAAAATGTTTTAGGGAGGCAGAGTTGCTGCTTGAAATGATATGTGATCCATAATAATATTTCCAAGATGTCTGCTTCTTTATTACTGTCAACAATCCATTAATCATCTTCCTACAAAGAAGGCAACTCACCCTTCCCCCTGGTTCAGGCATTTAAGAAAGTGCAGATTGTGGCTCTGGGATTTGGACCCATGCTGTACAAAATGCTGTTGTTTCAGTAAAATAAACACACAGAACTTCTAGGTGGCCACTTATGTGCCTTTGGGGTGGGGGCAGGGAAAATTACTGATCCTGTGATGGAATCACAGTGTGATTATGGTCATATAGATGGTGATATAGGGTTGTTTTCCAATAAGGTAAAAGAGTTTTATATATAAAAACAAAAAAGAGGAAAGATTCAAATCACAGAATCAGAGATTTGAGTTTGGAAGGACCTTAAGATCACTCAGTTCCAGCCTTCTTCCCATGTTTTACTGAATATTTTCCTGCTTGTTTTCTTCCTGAGCAAGAAAAGGAATCAGAAGCCCAAGATGCCTGAGTTTAAAAAAAAAAAAGTTCTACCCCAGTGATAGTAATGTGCCTAAATGAGGCACAGAGTAAGGTTTGTTGAATTCTCTGCTGCTTGCTATGTGTTTTTCTCAGATTGTGTTGGACATTTCACTGCATCCTTGAGATAACATAGAAGAGTTGCAGAGGAATGAATTTTCTGCTTCTAGTAAAGCCAAAATGAAAGATTAGATCAACATAGATGTTTAGGCATGCAGAGATAGATATAAATGCTGACAGGATCATCAGAAATCCCATGTTTAGGCCAGTGAGTTTATTCAGAATTAAGTGCATTATCCATGTAATTCACTTTTGAAGATATCATCCACCACCAAGCTGGATGCTGAAATGCCACTGTAAATCTGGACCAAGTTATTCTTGTTGGTAACCAAGACTGGGGAGAAAAACAACTGCAAAACTGAAAGAATTCAATGATACAAATAGAGCTACTGCTTTATTTTATCCTTGAACAAAACAGAGGCTACTTTCTAAACACAGCTCATTACTGTAGGAGAGATCGTTCTGCCAAGAACACGGAGTAGTGCACTAAGTTATCTAAAAAGCCTCAGGAACTCCTTGGCCAGACAGCACAATCTGTTCAGGCAGCCCTTTGATATGCTATCAGCAGACACAGAGCAATCTAGCTGTGCCTGTTCCCTCTATCGCTCTCCCAGACTGTTGCTGCTCCCTGGGTTTTATTTCTGTGCATATCCATGCATTTAGGAACCCTTAATGGATTTCCCTTACATGAATTCATGCAATCCATCCTCAGCCAGTGCACAGGCAGGGTGAAAAGGTGGGGCTAGAACCCTTCACTCAATCAAACTGAGCTGGAAACTGCAAAATGTGACATTAGCAGCAATTAATTTAACCATCAGCAGAAGGGTTAACTACTGTTCTTGTATGTTGTGCTCCTTGCAGAATAAAAATAACAACTGGGCACTCCATCAGGACTGCTGAAGAACAAAAGGATAGAACCTCCTCATTCAAGTAAAACAAGTTGCTTTCCAACTGATGGAGTGAATAAAAGCTCTGTCAAAATCCGTAAGAACGTTTGCTGAGGCAGCTGTGGCTGAGCAGCTTTTTTTTTGTAATTCTAAATGAGCGCAATACTTATACATTAATATAATTGCTGCTATTCATTGCCTTCATTCAAGGTGCTTCAGGGGAGGCAATGTGAAGATAAACAGTATGAAAGAGCAGAGCATCACCAGAGCAATGTCTTCCAAAATTCTCTTAATCATTGAATTTTGATTTGCACAAGAAATCTTTCATAGGAGAAAGGGCTGCACTGATTTTTTTATTTTTGTTTGAATGCAAGTCATTTGCTTTTGGAGCTCTTTTTCATGGGTTTTTCCAGTCTTTAATTTTGGAATTAAACTCTGCCACTTGGACAAGGCAGACAGGCAGCTAATTAGCCAAGAAATGGGCATTGAGAGCTCTTGGAAAAAAAAAAAAAAACACACACGCTTTTGTAAGTGAAATGATTGCTGAGGATATGGTATTGATTTGATAGTTTTGCAGCTGAAAATGTTTGCTAATTGGAGAACCAATTCCATATTTTTATTCTCAGCACAGAATCAAGAAGCTTCTGAATTAAGCATCAAGAGCAAGTACTTGCTGAAGGAAAAATGAATCCAATAAAAGCCCAGGATGTGATACTGTGTGACACAAGAGCCTGGCAGCTGTGCTCTGGGCAGTCTAAAACTCTCCTGGACTTGGACAGGTAGAAATAATCATAAATATGAATCCAAAATTAATATCAATGGATGCTAGTAGGCAATTATTGCTGGCCCAGCTAATAACATTTTTCAGCTCTGGTTTTTATCAAAATGCTCCCTGGGTTTATAAGTCCATCTGTCAGAGTGATTAACAAGGAGATATAAAACCTTCTGAAGTGCTGCCCTTGCTTTCACAGAATTTTCCCTTTTTCTGACAAATCATTCTGACAGAACGTAACTGGTAAAAGGATAAGGGGTAAAAGGGAGAACTAAAAATTTTAGATGTTTCTTCAGAGCCTTGAACATTCCAACAAAATATCTGAACAATATGAGATTTAGCTAAAATTATTTTTAAATGGATACCTTTTTTGTTTCCCTCTATATGTATTTCATCAGGCAGTGATAATCAGGTGTTAATGCAATATTCAGGAAAGAGAACTCATACCCCTGTTCTGCTTCGCATGTCATTCAAATAGCAAAAAGTGTTTGGTGATCTACAGGAGCTGAATATTTGCAGTCTGCTGGCAAGGGCTGACAAATGACACCAATCCCTTCCTCACATCTCTTTGAATTTTCTCAGGTTTGTCTGGTTTTGGTTTCTTTGGGGGCTTTTAATAAATTTTCCTTTCTGTTCCACATAAGGTATTGATATTTCTGAAAAAGTGCCAGCCACTACCTTGAGTAATTTCAATAAATATATGTCCAGCAATTCAAGAAGAAAGAAGAGCTGAAGTAAATCCACCACCACCCTGCTGCCAGCTCGTTCCCTGCTTCACACCCTCCACCACCAAAAATAAGTTATCTATGGAGCTCTGGGATCCTTGCTAGGAAGATATAAAATATAGAGGTATGAATAAATAAGAGAGTGCTTGTTTCTTCCAGTGTGTGTGCCTTGTGCTGGTTTATGTTGCTTTCATGTCCCTCCCTTCACCCCTACTGTCTCATTCCTTTTATTAATTGCTCTGCTTTTCCTCCCCTTCTTCTTTTCTGGCCTTCCTTCTGCAAAAGCATAACTTCTGTTCTACCTATTCATTTTTCTTTTCTTCATTGTCTCTTCACTGTGTAAGTCTCCTTTCCTTCACTCCAGTGAGATTTTTTCCATTCTCTCATTTTACTCACTCCTTATGATTTGTCTGTCCCTCCTTCTGGGTCTAATTTTTCCAATTTCTGTGGCATGTGAGCTCTGTCTCAGTGACCCCTTTGCTCTACATCCTGCCTCTACTCTTTCTCTTTATGGCCTCCTACATAACTGATTTAAATCGCTTCTCTTCTCCACAGAGCACAGCTGGGAGCTCCAGCTCCATCCTCTGATCTTCACAGAATATCCTGTGGTAGAAGGGTCCATCAGGACCATGGAGTCCAGCTTCTGGCACAGGACACTCCAGGAGTGCCATCATGTGAGAGCATTGTCCAAATGTTCCCGGAGCTCTGGCAGGTTTGGTGCTGTGACCATTCCCTGTGGAGCCTGGTCAGTGCCCCACCCCCCTCTGGGGGAAGAACCCAACCTAAACCTCCCTGACACAACTTCAGGCTGCTCCTTCAGGTCCCGTCCCTGGTCATAGAGAGCAGAGATTGGTGTCTGCCCTTCCTCTTCCCCTCACGAGGGAGTTGTAATTATGGTGAGTTCTCTCAGTTTCTTCTTTTCCAGCTGAACAAGCCCAGCACCTTCAGCTGCTCCTCACACACTTCCCCTCACAGCCCTTCACCACCCTCATTGCCCTCCTTTGCATGCCCTTTAACACCTTTATATCTTTTTTATAATTTGGTGCCCAAAACTGCCCCCATCACTTGAGGTGAGGCCTCCCCAGTTCAGGACAATCCCGTGCTGCTGTTCCTGGAACAGGACATGGATGTCCCTCCTGGCCTGCAGGGCACACAGGTGGCACATCCCAGGTGCCACCTTCCTGGTGGAAGCTTCTGCACTTCTTCTGGCCCCTTCCATCACCTCCCTACCGCTGCTTTGGGTTGTTCTAGTTGGGCATAAAGCAGACAGAGCAGCCTAAAAGCAGGTTTTGTTTCAGGGAGGGCAGAGGAGCTGCGGCACTGCTGCTCCAGGGTGCTCTCCTGCCCGTCGGAGCGTGCTGAGGGAGGGGATCCAGCGTCTGCTGTGCTCTGATTGTGCTGCACTTCCCAGAGCTGTGAGAAGCAGGGCGTCATTAGACCAGCAATGAAGCTTTCTTACCGTTTGGAAGCATTTGTAAATCCCACTGATGGTTTTGTATGGTGAAGGGCTGGTTTTGTGTAGAAAGGAAGTTACTGAATTATGGGATGTCAGTCATAATAATTAGCAAGGCCTGTGCTCGCGCAGGAGGATGATGGGCTTTGTTGTTTCCCACTAGGCCTATCAAACTTAGATGATAGATATTTGAAATTTCACCTTCACATCTAAAACCCTCTTCTCACAGGTGGAGATCCATACTGGTTCCAAGGCCTGGAGGAAAAGCTGGGTGTCCCTAAAATCACTGTGCCTCTGCTGGCCTGTTGGGTGTGATGGCTGCATCCACTGATGCTGTTCAGGTTTTGTCCTTTTTTTTTTTTTTAATATGTTCTCTGTATTCTTCACACATATATTTGTAGCTCTTAGTCTATTGTACTAATTTTCCCAATTCTTTTCCATGGCCTTTCCTTAAGCACAAAGACAAAACAAATTCCAGAGCTCCAAGTCCTGGAAGTAGAAGGCCCCAATCCTATCTTGGTTCTTCCTAGAAACCAAGGCCAAGAACAACTCTTTGAGATGCATTCTCATGAACAAAGCACAGCTGGTGCTGAAGGGGGACTCCAGAGAAGGGGCTTGACCTGGAGGGGAATTGCACTTTTCCTCCTAACTGGTGCTTTTTATCGATTATGCTAATTTCCTATAAATGTCTGCACTTTTCCTCCTAACTGGTGTTTTTTATCAGTTATGCTAATTTCCTATAAAATGTACTCACCCCTGGGGCGGTGGGCTTTTGTGGACATCTTTCCATAACTGCCTTTGAAGGCCTTCAAATAAAGATCCCTTTTTATATTACCTCCTTACTAAAATCATCTCAAGTTTCATTTCCAGGTTGGGAAAAATGCAACACTACAGGAGCCCATGAGCTCTCTGTTCCTGCTGCTCAATTGTTCAATTCTGGCAGGTTTTCCACTCATCAGGACCTGCGTGGCAGCCACTCAACCATACTTGGGCAGTTTGGGGATTAACCCAGGCCAGGAACCCTCCTCCACCAGGCAGTTGTGGTGGGACTGCCCAGCTTTGGCACAGAAGGGCTCAGCTGGAAGGAAATGAGCTGTGCCTGTTGGTCCAAGGGCCCCAAAATGGTTCCTGGATTGCTCGGTTGTGAAAACTGATGTGTTATTTTTAATCTGTTCAAAAGCAGTTCTGCAGCATCCTATGGAGCTGAATTCAGGAAATCACTCACAATGGTCATTTTGTGTCTGCAGTGCCAGACTTGCAGAGAGATGGATTTAGATATGCCAATAGCAACAGAATTCTCTGAAAGTAAAATCAATTCCTCAATTCCTTCCCTGAATCATGATGTGGATCTATTGCTTAACTTTATTTATGAGCTTAAATGGTAAAATGAATAGTCCTAGACCTGTATTTTTTTTAATATATCAAATAATTTTGTCTTTTCTTCCTAGGAAAAGTGAAAATATAAATATTTCTACTGTTTTTGTTTGTGCTAGTTCACTTTGACCACTGTTACACCAGTGGAACTCTATGAAATGCTGCTAATTTATATCAGCCCAGGCAAAAAAATACATAGAAAACTCAAAAGTTTGGGGTTTTTTTAATAATATTCAATATTTTTTGTGTAAGAATTCTTTTCTGTCCACTGTTTCTTCCACGTGCCTTGAAATGGGAAAGGTCTGCTGCTTTCAGAGTGGTTTCCCATGTTCTTGTACAGGTAGGTTATAAATCACTGAAATAGCTGCTGAAATCACCAACTCTCTTTTTTTTTTCCTCCCAGGCTAATGGTAAGGAACTTAGTCTAGGATGGGTTTTGGCTCCATTTTTCTTACCACTTTTGTTACCAATTTTGAAGATGCTTTTACCAATCCTATTACTAAAAACATTTCCAGTTAACCCTGAAGTCCAACAAATGTTCCTTCTCTATCAGACATTTGTGTGTGGAGAGTGTGCTTGGCATTGACCCATTTATTCCACCTTTCCCTGCACGAAGAAATTATTTATTTTATTCAGAAATTAATATTGGATGTTCTTGCTAAACCTGAAGCTCTGCATGTCTGAGGAGTTAAAAGTTCAAGATGACAATGTAAATCTCAGCATTGATTCCAGCCCTCCTTTCTCTGTAAGTACTGTTTATTCTTGGAGACAGGTTCCCCTGTGATCTTGCTTTGCAAGTAATTACTGGGTTGGTGTTTAAGGCAGAAAGCACTTGTGGAGTGCTAACACACAAGCTGACAGAAAATTCTCAGCAGATCTTAACTCATTTTCGTGTCTGCAAGATTTTTCCAGAGTGTTCTGGTCACAAATTGTTTTTGAGATGTCTTAATTCTGATCTCACCTGTCTCTGTTTGCTACCAGAACCAAGATTTTAACTCTCCCCACCACCCAGACCCATTTTCCCAGCTCGAGGTGCTCTCTCACAGTGCCTCCCACATTGCCTGGCAGTGATGATCAGCTCCTAAAAGAGTGACTTGCATTCCAACTGAGCAATTAGAGACAAAGGTAGAAACTTTGTTTAAAGTTTTATATCTAAAAAATCTTCAAAGTGTCTTATGAGCTCTAATGACAGGGTTATCAACAAACACAAAGGAAACACAATGTGAATTATTTATTCCTTCATCTACTTCCCAACTGAAAGGAAGTCAGTTTCTTATTTAGAGTCAAATCCCAGCTCTGCCAGAGAGATGCATTGTGCTGAAGGAGTCAAAGATGTGATGACAAAGCTATTTTAGCAAAATTCCTCCAAGGCAAATGTTAAATAATATATTTAAATTTAAGTACATTTGCATATAAGTAAATATAAGTGTATTTATAGACATGTCTATATAAATAGTATTTATGTATGTTGTACATTTTGATATGTACAGTTTTATAACAAACACATAAAGAGTTTATTTAAATATATTTATAATTTCATTTTTTATGACTGAGAAATAAAAAAGTCTGGCTTTTTCTCTGTAGCAGACTCCAGCACTTGACACGCTTGATAATACTTTGTCTCCACTGAGATTTACAGAACACCAGAACTTCCTCCCTTTAATTGGGATGAATTGGTCAAAGGAACATCAGAATATCTACAGTTCCAATTTAAAATCTGGTTAATTAAATTTTAGAAGTTTCAATCTTGGAACTTCTATCTAGATAAAAGACTTTGAAACTGAACATTCTGGAATTTATGAGCTCCCCTTGCAAACCCAAAGCAGTAGAGATTGTGGAGATTCTAAATTCCAGTGATTGCCAAATTTATGGCACTTTATTTTACACAGATTTTATTGACAGTTTCATCTGGGAAGGAAATGGAGTAAAACATTCATTTTCAATAAGTTAATTCTGCTATTGATTTTAGATTTCATACCTATACACTTGTAATTGTTCCTTCAGTACTTTTGGAATCCATGATGATGAGCTGGTTGACTGAGGTGCTGAGGTTTATATCGCTTTCTAAGTTATCAAGCAATTCTTAGAAGTGATTAAAAAGAGTAATTGCCTAACTTAGAAACTCATGTAGAGTCTCTAAGACCATGTCTAAGCTATCCATCATAAAGCAAGCTTAGAATTCACTGCATTCATATTTTAAACCACCTGTCACCATTTGTAATCTCAGTTTGTACTCCCCAGTGTAGAAACCAGATAATGTCTATGGTTAGATAATGTTCTGGATGCAATGGAAACAGAAGAAAAGGAGACAAATACAGAAATAAGGTTACCACATCCTTTTTAATCTATTTAACAGTAATTTCCATCAGGATGTCAGATCAGGTCACATTTCCAAATGAGCTGTGGAATCAGTGCATGGAAAATGAGCTAAAGAAGAGGCTGATATTAACTCTGAATTTTTTTATTTTGTCAGTTTAACTAGAACTTCAATAAAGGATGGGTGGGACTTTTTTAATTTATGGAGACCAAATATTTTCTTATAAAATTCTGTTGTATTGATTTTGATGTGCACACCAGGCACATTTAAGATCTGTCTTCTCTTCGTGGCAGTTAAAATGTTGGTCAGCAGAAACAAGAAACATTGACCAAGGAGTCCAAATGCCATACAGAGGGGGCTCTTTTCCCTGACAGAGAAAACTCTTTCTCTGTTCAAGAACTACTGATCTTCAAGTTCAGTTACTCATTTTCTTTTTCTTCTTCTTGAGTCCAGCTCAGCAGAATTTATTTTCTCTTGAACACAATGACCCCCAGTTCCAACTGTGCTGTCTAAGAAAGATTCAGCAGAACATTTTATACTTTCTTTTCTGAAATAGCTCAGACTTCTTAATTATCCAAGTCATAATTTTCTGATCCAAAGTCACAGGAAAAGGACGAGCAAGGACTAGGTCTTGGAAA